CACACACACACACACACACACACAAATATATATATATATATATATACACATATGCATGCAAACAATGAATGATAATGGTGCAATACAAACAATACAACACAATACAGCATAACGCAGTAAAATACAACGCAATACCAGCATGATAAGATATCATGATAAGAAAGATAGTGTTACAAAGAGAAATGTGTGTATGAAATCAAATTAGCTCCCTTCCTGCTTCCCTTCCCTTCCCCTCCTCCTCTCCTTTTTTTTAATTCCTCCTTGGTAGGATAGATGGTAGTAGCATGATTGTAGTAGTAGTAGTAGTAGCAGTAGTAGTAGTAGAAGTAGTAGTAGAAGTAGTAGTAGAAGTAGTAGTAGAAGTAGTAGAAGTAGTGGTAGCATGGTTGCAATAGTAATAGCATGATTTGTAGTAGTAGTAGTTGTTGTTGTACCATGACAGCAGTAGTAGTAGTAGTAATAGACATTAACTTCATGTCACTTCCATTCCTTAAGCAGTAATTCCTGTCTATCAACTTGCTTATCTCACTGCTTCTTGTTACAATCATAAACTTGAGTTTTTTTTCGCGCATTTTTTAAGATATTTATTCTTGCAGTTCGAATTATACTTCCACTATTACAACTATCTAGCAAGTATTGAGCATCAACTTCAGATCGCAAGCAAACGCACAACAATGACCGCACAACTCACTAACTTATCCACTACTACGTGATTTCTTCCTTGCGCAGTCTCACTCATTCTAGTCTATAAACAAAGCTAGTATCAATAACAGACAAATAAATAAATAAATCTTAAACATTTTCCACATTTACTCTCTTAACTTACTTTTGCATAAGACAAGTACAGTTATTGTACAAAATTGTTTGCATATGCAGAAAACCGTCTTTTTAACTCTTAGTGCTACTAGAAGTTAGATGAATAGATAGACTTACTCCAAATCTATTCATCTAACTTCTTCTAGTACTAACTTATTATTTGCCACTTTTTTTGACAAATATCGCAGCATTTTTGATTGTAATGCAATTAATAACTTTTATACTTGCAACTTCTGTGTATTTCCATACACCAAAAAGATGTAAGTCATTTTAATTAAGCAAATCATTGTCTCAATACAACATACCATTACCATTAAACTTAAGAAGAGCTTTATTGAACAATTATCATAATATTATTAAAGTTAAAACTATACCGCAAAGATTTTCTAATTATTTCTCATCACAATAACTTATCTAAATCACAGTCAAGTAATCAGTAAGCTTACCTTTTTCATCAACAGTAATGTTTTCATCAAACAAATCTGTCAGCTGTTCAATGTTTTGTGTTGATTTTAGTGCACTACCCGAACTCTGCTGAAGTCTATAGTTTTGATTGCCTTTATCATTCTTTACCACTGCTTCATCCTCTAATCCATTAACGACCTCCGTTGGAGTTGAAAGTGAATCTGATTTCGAATTAATCGATGATTCAACCTAAGTCAGATTATCATTACTTCATATATCTTATGCATTAAATGTGTATCTCAAGGAAAAAATGTCTTCAATTGAAGAGCTCACAATAAACTAATCTTGCTGAGTGAGACTTCAGAAGTCATATTGAATGTTTTTCCGCTCAAGCAGTGAAAAAAACAAAAATGAAAATCTGAAAGATAATAATCCAAGACTATAATTAATATAGTCTTGGATTATTATTAATATTCTTCTGGGAAATTCATGTCCAAGAGGTAAAAATTTTAATAAAAAATTAAAGCAGAAAACACCATAATTTCTATTGTATGATAGAATTTTAATGGTCATGTGACAGCTAATTCGTAGTCATTTCCTGTCATTGATTCAATCACAGCCTTTCAATCTTCTGCATCAAAATGTCAAGTAAAATTTATTAGTGTTTTCTGTATTGAAAGAATTAAGCAGCAGAAAACTATAACCAACTTCAGTACTACTATTTTCTGCTAATTCATGCTGAGATTTCAGGGCTAGATGTATTGGTGGAGAATTGCGAGATTTGTTGGATCCATTTTTTTTTAAAGATCGATGAGTTAAATTATCAGAAATTATTGCTCCGTGACTTCTCTTATCATCAGATGTCACATAATCATAACAACTTTCGGAATTATTTTCTTGTAAAATTGTATGCATTGCATCATGTGAACCATGTGCTGAAAAAAAAGGATTTATGTGAAGAAGAGAGCATATTTAATGTTTTTTTTTAGCTAATAAAAATTCTTAGGTTTGTAAAACTGGAATTTTTCAGTGTTTGTATATTTAGACTGTAGATGTTAACGTGATGCATCTGAAACAAAAGTAGTGGATTTGCTGGAAGCTTCATCTTTATACATTTTCCGCTATGTATACTCGTATTTCTAAACCTACACGATCTGTTCGTATACAAGTTATTGTTCGACATTCTTGAATTGGATCGCCATTCACAACTATTGCTGATAGAGTGGTCTCGGTTAGGATCCATATTATCCATTGGAAACCTAATAATTTTAACCAGAAATAAATTGGTCAAACAGCAAATCATTTAAGTAAATTACTTAGGAGGAATATAATAAGTACTTCATTTCGATCCTTCACGTCTCATCATAACGAATATTATTTTATGAAACCTACCTAACTTTCGAACTCTTGCTCAGTTGTAACTGGTTGCTTCGGCTATTTTTTGATGAATAAGATACTCTAAAAATACTATTATATCTATTTCTCAAAAGTCAAAGGTTGCACTGCTTTTTTAATTAGATTTAAATAAATGTTAAAAATCTTCTACGAACCACGTATATATCATTATGTTTATATGATTTTACTCACATTTAGTAAGAGCGTTTTTAAATATTTGATACAATTTTTTATTTTTTTAATCTGCCAATCTGACGATCATCTTTAGTAACCACAAGAATAAAAATTACTTGTCGTAGTTATTTCGTTCTCGGTTACGAGAAAAATTGTCGAACGTGGAAAATAGTTGTGGAGGATGAGATTTGGAAAGATAACCATGTTGGGAATGTTGCCGCCAATTATTGTCATTCAAATGGTGGAAAGAAGTCATCACAGGAAATCCTAGAAGCATTCATTTTCAGATATTAAATTAAATTAATGCAGCTCTATTCATTTATGTCATATAGCTAATTTAGTTCTGTGAACGACACTAATAATATTATTTGTAAGAAGACTGAATCATTACTGAAATATGTAATATGAATAGAACCGTAGTTTGATAGGTTAAATATGCTAGTTAGCTTTCAATTTTTAAATTTAATCAAACAAAAACAATGAATCAGTAAGCCATGAAAATGAACATAATCCTTGATGATGCTTCTTAGCTAAAATAAACTCTTATATGATAGAATTTTTGCCTTTTTTATGCCAAAATTAAATCATCCATACGCAGCAATTACCGATATATAAAATAAATTGAGGCAAATTTTGCCACAAAATCGCTAACAGTAATAATTAATACAGTGTAAAAATATGAGTTCTGATTATTCAAACATACCTATTGATCTTCTGTCATTTAATATCCGAGTTGACAATTCCATATTACGATGGCTGATTTTCGAGTGAAGGCTTTGCTTTCGTTGCTTTGAAATATGTCCATCGATATTGCAGGTCTCAAGATCCCGTTTTGTACACGGTGATTTCGCCAATGTCAAATTTGAAGTACGTACTGACTCACGTGAAACACCACCTGCGTTGTGCTGTTCAAACCTCGGCAAGTTTTCCAATAGTAATTCTTCATCCAAAAAAGGATCTGAGAACAAAGTACAACGAACTGTTTTTTCAAAAATGACTGAAATATGGTACACAGTTCAAGAAATCTCAAGCATAATAAGCCATCTAAAAATATGCTGCTGATTGTTTCATATTTGATATCTGAATACAAAATGCTGCCTCATTTCTTTGACTTTGTACGACTGTGAAGTATGACGGCATCTTCAGTAGAGATGCTTCCTAACAAAAACTATATTTGGAGAAGTGAATTCAGTACTTGTATTTTGATTTCTACTTATTTTAATGCTTTGAAACTGTTATTTTTATCATTGTTTGTTACCTTCAGTTATATCTTCTAACTTATCTGCTTGCGATGTCACATTTTCATTTTCCTCAATGGAGCTTTCAGCAGCACCGATTCCAGTGTACTTAACTTTATGACAAGTAACGGTGCTTAGCTGAAATTGTGCATGTTTTAGCTACAAATATTTCACAAAAATAATTTATTTAATAACAATAATAATAATTTATCAAGCAAAATAATACATTATTTTGATTTATGATTCAAGAGCTGAATCGCAATTAAGAAACGAATCAACCATTTCTGAAGTTTCTTCATATTTGCTACACCAGTTTATCTACCTGATAGTAAGTGTTTTCATCAATTCTTATTTTGAACACAAAACTTATTTTTCAACAAGAGCAAAATTTGGTCAACAAATTTTTGAAACCTCTTTATTTCCTTCATTATTGTCAGATGCTACTGGTGCTGTAGCTGTGACATTTGTAGTAATAACTGCTCTATCAGGTGTTGAATCTGAAGTGGAATGAGCAACCGCCGTGGCAAATTCTGATCCTACATGAGTATAGACAGTAGTTGTCTGTGTATGAGCTATTTGAGGTGAAAAACTGAAAAAATTTAGCACTTTCATGTTACATTTATTACCTTTTAGTAAGAATTTGCATAATTTGACATCTTTTTAAGTTAACTCAAAATTGTTACAACCAATGCATTTTAGGCTTAAATTATGCAAGCAAATAGCTTTAACTTTTTAATCGTGAGAGTTTTAAATAATTGCAACTGATATAGCCATTTGTTTTCAAAATTACGAATAATGATAAAATTTGAATTCATGATTTTATCAATCATTTGTTAGCTATTTTTGCTTCCCAAAAAAAGATTAAGCAGATTAGTGCATTTTGCATTGATATTCAAATGAATACATCATAAATTACCTGGTATCAAAAATAAACACCGTATTTTTAGCAAAATATTCAGAAAGCAGAATTTTCTTTCAATGTTAGCAACTGTTTTTAGATAGAGTTTGAAAAACATTGCTTTAGTTTCACTAACAAGCAAAAGCAAAACAACACGCATCTAACAACAGCATTTCTCGAAATCATATCAACATAATAAATTCACGCAGACAACACATACATACGAATAAGCATGCGTTATTCTGTATATCATAGGACATAATTAACATAATTAATTTAGCTACATAATCGCACACATGTTGAAAAAAAGTAATTTAATCATTCGCTCACAAAAGAATAATTTTGAGAAGGGATAAAGTCATATACAATGCTAACGAATACGGCATGCACTTGGAATAATTCACGTTACTTCTGATTAATAAATTCATACTAACATACAATCTAAATGTAAATTTACATATCCTTGATGACTTTTTCAAGTACTGTAGTAAACAATGCTACAAGTCACTCCATAAGCTAAATATGCTAAATCTTCATAAGCTAATCAAAAGCCAAAGTGAAGTGAATAAACCTCATACAACGCATAACTGTTAAAAAATAAAGCTTACTACCTCAGAAAAAGCATCAACTGCATCCTGCTGGGATACCCAAACAAGCAAGCACTCAGTATTAGCTTACTATAAATAATAAATGCGGAAAGCGGTGAATAGAAGTGTCCACTCCAAAATGAAAAACTTTTTTCGACTCAGTGCATCAGTTTTAGACCATCTATCGTAAGTTCACACTAATAAGCTTCAATTAAGCACAAACCAACTACACAAACAGAAGCAGAAGTAGAAAAAAGCCTGCAATAAGCAATTATTCGTTTATGTTTGCTATATACCACGCGTACAAATGTATAAATCGCTTATATAATATCCACACACAGCTGCATTTAACTCATTTCAAGCTTTACGTAAGCATAAGTTGGCTAAAGTATAAGTACCATAAGTGTAGAGCTGTGAATGCATAAGTTGGAGCAGAAGCATCACAAGCGCTACAAGCAGCATAAAATATTTTGCCAATATTAGTCTCAAAATATTATTTAATGCTGTCAGTTATATCCATTTCTTTGCTGCTTAACCTGTAGTTTACCTAAGCTGATTAGCTACTCAATGAACAAGAATAATAAAACACCAAACGAGAAAATACTAACCTTTCCAAGTAGTGCATATGAGCTTCAATCGAATCTATCGGTATCAAAAGACCATGAGGACAATTATATAAAGGCAAAAAATTAGGAGAAGGAACTGTGTGCCCGAACTCAAGGCGCGTTGAAAATGCCATATTTGGCAATGGTGTACAGAGTGCATATTTCGTACAAAGATTCTTCCCTAGGTTACAAGAGTTGAAAGCACCCATGAAGTGTGCAGAATTACCAGAGGCCTGAATATCACATAAATGATGCGCTTGCCATCGCGTTAACGGCATCGGGTAATTTATTATTTGCTGAGGATAAAAGTCCATAGTAGGCGATTCTGAATCACAAAAGCTCATTGAATCATGAGCAGATTTAAAGTCCCAATTTTCGCAATCACTGATGGCACTAGCACTTGTAGCAAATTGCAGTGGTAAATTACAAATATCATCAAACAAATTTTTGACCATTGCAGGATCATCTTGGCGAGTATCTTGCGAATCAATCCGCGAAGAACCAGAACCAATATCATCACCATTAGAGCTAGAAATAGTACTACTGCTTCTGCTACCAGCACTTGAAAACGGAGAATTATCTCGACGGTAGTCCAGAATTTGATCAGGACTTGCGCAGCTAACATGGCTAAATGTCGGCAATGTAGTAGATGATGGTGGCCAAGGATATGGCGGTGCATTTGTGGCTGCTGGTTGCCGAAATGTATTTTTAGCATAATGGTTATACACCCAACGATTACCCTGTGGACGAAGTACCCTACTATAAGGGTCAAGAAAAAGACCAGGTTGTTGTTGTAAGCATACTCTGCTGGCAGCACGTGGTCGATAGTAATAATGTAAGTATGATACGTTAGTATAAAATTCACAACAACGACTAAATCCATTTTTTGTAGAGTGTGATGATAGTGATGACGAAGATGATGATGAAGATGATGCTGACGATGATGTAGGAATAAAAACTGGAAAATGTGGAAGAGCACCGCCAATAATAAATTCTGGAAATGCAGGCATCAGATTTCCGATGCTAAAAGACAAGTTTGAGTAGTAACACTGAAAAAATTACTGCAGAAGTTTGGAAAAAAAACTGCTTTCGTCTTAAAATATTAAAGCAAAATAATAGAGAGCAGAATTATATTCATATATATGTGAAAAAAGTTGATACGTCATAAATCCAATATCATAATGGTCGAAAACTGTGGAATTAATTACACTTCATGCAGTGCTTTTGTTGTTTTGTATTGTAGTCAGTGACACACTAAAAAAATTTAAAATTTATACATAGAAAAGTGGTAATGAAGATGGAATATACGAAAACGAAGTGGAAGAGAGTAAGTAAGTAAGTAAGAAAGTAAGTAAGTAAGTAAGTAAGTGAGGAAAATAATTAAATACTTTTGCTCTATATAAAGGAGAAGAAAAAATTTAATTAATTTTTTATAGAATAGTGTTGTTTTAGGCGCATAATGTGAAGTAAGAAGTTTAACGCGAGTAATAGTGGTAACAGAAGTAACACGTAACATCAGCAACAACACTATGAATAATGTACATAACAAGTATGAATGAGGCCTATTGAGAGAAAAGTAGAAAAAAAATTAGACACGGCAAACAGCACTCTAAAGTGAAATAAAATGAAGTAAAGTGCAGTAAGTATATGATGTGTAGGGGCAATTACGATACACGTCAAAACTCACTCAGTTATCAATATGCAATCTCGAATTCATCACATCTCAATATTTTACGCAACGAGGAATACAAATAAAAACTAACTGCTATTCTACAACTATTGATACAACCTTTACTACTACTACTACTACTACTTTCACTATTATTATTATCATTATCATTATTATTATTTCTATTATTATTATTGTTATTATTATTATTGCCTAGTTCTTTTAAATCATACTCTTAATACACATCTTAGCTTCAATAACTTTTTACAAATTTTTTAAATAAATCAATCAGGTATCTAATTACTTACTAATATGTCATCCTCCTAAATCAAGTCTATTCCCAAAGTTCTTAACATTTAGCGCTTCTTTACATTACATCAACACAGGTTTACAGAGCTTAAATGCATCATAATACACACGTAACTACCAAGTAGTTATACTTCAGTGCAGTAATTATTTGAATTTACTTGAATGTCAATCACGCAACAACTTACGTGTAATAAACAATGAAAGTTATATCAGTGAAGAAATCAAAAAGCTCAAGAAAGATAATATTTCAGATTTAATAAATAAATATGAATAAATAACACATCATACCTCAATGAATGTGAGAAATAAATGCATTATTACGAATACTTAAAAGATTAGTTAAAACTTTCTCTTACTCAAAATCAATCAGCAAGACTACACCTATTACTACGTAAGCTTCACATACTTCTACCTCATTCCTAGACACTCTCAAGCATTCACACTAAACTAGCAATAATTTTTAACATTCTCCTGAACTGCTTGCTGCTATTCGTTCAATGATTAATTGCTACTTTTGAATCCATTTGTTTTCTGAAAAGATTGTCTTTCTCGCAGAATAACACAATTACAATCAGGCAATTCAATTTCAAGTATTTATTTAAATATTATAATAATTCATCGTTAGATGCGATAAAAGTTTCATTCAAAAATTGACCAAAAGCAATTCTCTTCTCTTCTGAACTCAACCACCACATTCTGTGAAGCACAAACAATTATTACAAATAAATACTATTCATTTATTTATGTATCAGAGATTGAATGTGCTACAAGTATTACTAAACAATTTGCTGCTTCTGTCTCCATAAATAATAAATAAATAATATTCGACAAACAGTTTCGTCTCTAAGAATTAAATCGTTGAGCAGTTAAAAAGGCCAGCATTCACTTTTAAATTATTTTCCGATTGTATTTACATATTGTGATATCACCTGATTACCAACATAACTAAACTGGTTTTTTCTTCAAATATCATACTTACCACCCACAACAATTGTACTAAATCAACTTGCAATCAATCAATAATTCCTGCGCACTCATACGTTCACTTCACTTTGATAAAAACTGTCTCTTATCAAGTGTCAAAGTTGCTGATTTTATTGCTCAAAAAACAATTTTAATTAAAGTGAAATAAATG